TCTTTCTTATTGTTTTTTTGCACTTGTGCCATGGAGTTTTTGTTTGTGTTGTGAAGTTTTTGTTCGTGCCGTGAGGCTTTTGTTTGTGCCGTGAGGCTTTTGTTTGTGCCGTGAGGTTTTTGTTCGTGCCGTGAGGTTTTTGTTCGTGCCGTGAGGTTTTTGTTCGTGCCGTGAGGTTTTTGTTCGTGCCGTGAGGTTTTTGTTCGTGCCGTGGAGTTTTTGTTTGTGCCGTGAAGCTTTTGTTTGTGCCGTGGAGTTTTTGTTCGTGCTGTGGAGTTTTTGTTTGTGCTGTGGAGTTTTTGTTTGTGCCGTGGAGTTTTTGTTTGTGCCGTGGTACCTGTGGGCCACCGTAAAAAAAACTCACGGCGAATTAAAATCTCACTGCAAAATAAAAACTCACGGCAAAATAAAAACTCGCAGCAAATTAAAAACTCACGGCAAAATAAAAACTCACAGCAAAATAAAAAACTCACAGCAAAATAAAAAACTCACGGCAAAATAAAAACTCACGGCAAAATAAAAACTCACGGCAAAATAAAAACTCACGGCAAAATAAAAACTCACGGCAACATAAAAAGCTCAAGGCAAAATAAAAGCTCAAGGCAAAATAAAAACTCACAGTAAATTAAAAATTCAAGGCAAAATAAAAACTCGCAGCAAAATAAAAACTCACGGCAAAATAAAGTCACGGCAAAATAAAAACTCACAGCAAATTAAAAACTCACGGCAAAATAAAAACTCGGCAAAATAAAAACTCGCGGCAATTAAAATGTATTTCTAGTATTGGTGGAAGATGATATTTGCACTGTGTATCTTTACACTTGTTTATGCTAACCATATAGTGCCTATTAAGGATAAATTAACTATGGCAATTTTGGATTGTTAAAATAGGTGGGAAAGTACAATATTTATATTCTAACTGTATAAACAATGCAACAATTTTAATGCCTGCATTTGCAGTGGTGGGTGTCCAAAAACGTGTTTAATTCAGCTTTGTTGCGAATCTTGGCTTTAGTTGTGTTATTTGGAGCCAATGTCTCGTCAATCCGCTTAATTTCTGACCACATCAAATGAATAGTTTCATCAGTTGCCGCCTCTTGAATGTGACATTCAGAAGATCTTTGGTGGGTTGCACGCTTTCAAGGACTTTTTCTTTGATCTAAAATGAGAAAAACAATTTAGTCGGGCAGGAATTTAATATATCCCAAGACATATTGCCCACAATTAGCTCAAAAGAATCCTTAGGATTCTGCATAATTACTTTTGCATCTGGGTTATCTTCATGGACTCTTCGAATACTCTTCATGTTGTTGCAGTTCTTAATGATTGGCCCTAATATAGGCGATTCTTGCCACATAAGACCAACACCTTGGGCACCAAAGTTGAGCACAGACATTACTCTTTCGGCGGGATCCTTCCAACTATTATATTGAGGGGTCCTAACTGCAACCAACATGTCTCTGTCCTCTTTAAGAAAGAGACAAATTAGGGCAATTTCCACTGATAAGTAGTTTACCCTGTGGTCAGGACCACCGTCAGTATAGAGTGCCAAGATTGGGCGATCATCATGCTGAAGGACACCATGTAGTTCTGTAACATAGCATATTGCAGAGGATGGCTGGAAAGTGTGCTCCTTAAGTTCCACTGAAACATTGCCACTATACCATGATCCCTCTATATTCTCTGGAATATCAAGCTTCAAAATCACACTTGGAATTATGCTGAGTTTAGTGAAATCATGGTCACCAACTTCAAACTGGGTCTCCATAGCAACCAGAACCTCTCTTCCTCTTTCCACTGCAGCCACTGGATATCCAGGCTGTCCAACTTTCATCGAGTGTTTATCATCCATACACACAAAAGATGTGTCCTGACGATATTTTAGTGAGAACTCCTTCAGATATCTAAAAAGAGCCGATGCATAATGAGCATCATCAGCATGTTGGTGCCGAAACTGCCTTATTTGTATCATGTACTTGATCTTCAGTGATCCATAATATCGCTTCGCAGCTGCAGAATTCTTTCGTCTTGGCCAGAATTGAAGCCTTAGCCATTGAAAACTTTTCTTGCCAGAAGAGCTAGTTTCAAGGAAAAACATTATATTTTTCAGAAAATGTTCTTTAAACAAGAATGGCACGATCGGTGAAAGATACATCATGTACCAAGATATTTTTTCTTAAATCAAGATAAGTTAAATCTTAATTTTAGAACAGCATTTGAAAATATCTTGAATCAAGTTATTTTTTCTTAAAATAATACATACAGGAACAGTAACAGTAACAGAAACATACACATTAAATATCTTTAACACATTAACCATAATAATCCAGATAAGATTTTGTCATGCATTTAACACTTTATTTATTTTATATGACCCTATATGCAACGTAACTAATAACATTTAACGCAACCTATACGCTATAACAACATGTTGCCGACATCGCAGACATCTAAAATGTACGTAAAACAGTGAACGTCAGGCATAACAATATATGCAATAGACCTATCCCCCTTATAACTAAACTTTTGATCTAGACAAGTCTGCACAAAAACTTCATCACAGTTTGAAATAGCATCACAAAATTAGTAATATTCCGAAGTTTCGTTGCGAAATGTTGTAAAATGCTGATAATACAGCCCTGCGAATTTCACAAATTTTTTATATTTTAGTATTATGTGCGGGAAATTGATAGCCTCTTTTCAAAACAGGCTGTCACTTTCCCGCGCATAATACTGAAATATACAAAATTAGCAGGGCTGTATTATCCGCATTTTACAACATTTCGCAATGAAACTTCGGAATATTACTAATTTTGGGATGCTCTTTCAAACTGTGATAAAATTTTTGTCAAGATCAAAATTTTAGTTATCCGGGGAAAGGTCTATTGCCAATGATCAACTGTAAGTGGTATCAGATGACACATTGTGTAAAATTCGGCAAGAGACTTTGTATAACCATTGGCATTGCACAAGCAAAGTTTTAACAATGCCTTGAAACAAATAAACTCAACTCAAAGCAATAAAAGTATTTTTAAAGTTCTTAAAGTTCTTAATTACTACAGTATTTCTGTAAGTCATTCATGCTTTGATGACATCGTCCTTGCCATCCGGGTGGATTGCACTATCACCAGAACAAATTCATTGCATGATAGATAATCCAACTAGCAATCCTGAAGGATAATCGAGATCCATGAGGTAGAAGCTGGCTATAAGTGTAATGACAGCTTCAACCATTTCATCTGCACTGAAGATTATGAAGATATCTCTCCCAAGCAGTAATGCTGCTCCATTTGATGACACAGCAAGCCCTGGTATATAAGATGATCGCTTTCGTTGCCAGTCACAATGTCCTTCATCGCCCTACAGTGATACAAATAGAATTAATGTAAGCCAAATGTACCATGATGCAACAAAGTAAATGATCACAATTTTTCACGTTTACCATAATGTCCCCTTTGATACTCAAACAAATGCAATAAAGAAAGTAAGATGAACATTGTTGCCATTCTAGTCCAGGACCTGTGTAGGTGGGTTTCACTAGGCCTTTTTCATAGGGAAACACATGGTGGTCAACTTTGCACATATTGTCGCTTTATGCCTTGTGAAAGCGAGCAAATTTTGTTAAATTTTCAGCATTTGCTACTAAACACAAGGCGAATACATATAATGAACAATGAACTCGATCGACTACCAAGTGCTAAAGTGTCAGTGACTCACATGATTGAAACCCAGCTATAGGAGTTCGTATATGCGTTTCATTTAAGACAAGTAATCTCAAATGTTTTAGGATAAAATTATCAGGGCAAACAACATTGCATATGTTTTGAAACCAGATTCCGGGGTGAAAGTTCTGAAAATGACAATGCCTAGAAATGGCACAGCCGACATGGAGGGTGAAATGTGTCTAGTTATAATATTTTACAAGAAAAGACCATGCACACTCATCCTATGGTGAAAGTTTCAGGAAATAGTAAAGAAAACATAGCATTTCACTGGGGATGATGCATGGTCATTTTCTAATAAAAAGACACAATACACTCTCCAATTACCACCCGTAAAAGTAACCATTCTAAACAAATATGGGTACTCAAGAAAGTTTGTAGTTTTGATTGATCAGGAGTTATCTAGGCATGGTCATTTTCAGGAATTTCATTGCAGATTTGGATCTTGGCATGTATGCCATGTTGTTCGCCATGATAATTTACCCTTTTGTTAAAAATTTCCTGGCAGCAGCGCTGCTCGACATTTTCCAGCCTGATCAGAGGGCAACACCCACCTCAATAACATGGAATATTTCTTCAGCTTTCAATTGCTTGGTTGACTGTTTTCCTTTTGGCTTGAAGACGTTGTTCAACCCTTTCATTAAATGAATCACCTTTGCCATCTGAAAGAAAAATATTAGAAAACATAATTAGATTTTAGACCACTAGCAACAGAAATTTTTCAAAACTGTTGGTCTGTAAGCTCGGATCTTCGTGTGTGCAAATAGCCCTCATATGCATGCATGCATGCATGTACTGTAACAATAACAATTATTTGTACTGAACATGATCCGAGATTGCAGACCAAAAGCTTAAAACTAATCAATGATATCCAATCCATCTGTATGGAACATACTGTAAACAGGATACAGTATAAATCACAACTTTAAATTAAACATATCTCGGTAGACATCTAATTCTAACTGCTACTAACTGTACTTTCACTATTCTACCATCACTAATATTCGTTGGCGGGCAAAGTGCACTCTTTGAAATCCCATAGTATATAAGATGATCTAGTTTAATCTTTAGATTTTCAACAGATGTCTTCAGATAATGTCCAACATCTTCCTCCTCTGGCTGCGACAAACTACGTCTAACCTCCTCCAACACCTCAAAAAAGTAACAAATATTTGAAAAATTATTAACACTATCCAATAAAGTACTATCACCTTGTATATGCTATCCAAGCAGGGGACAATATCGTAGGACTTACATGTACTGTACATAATATAAAATAGCAAAGCAGTGAGCAAATTAAGGTTACAGAACACCTTTTGAGTGTTAAATTGGCCTAAATTTTGACTAATTCCAATATCTGACCAAGTTTGAAAGGAAAAAGTTGAAAACTCACGGAGTTTAAAAAAAAACACATTCCGCAGAAATAAGAAACTTCTGATTAATGGCATGTGCAAAAGTACAGATAGACACTACAGTACAAACCTCAGAAGGATCTTTAAAGCATGGGTAGGTGTCAATTATGAATCTTGGTCTGTCCTCTTTTCTTGTTGCTTGCAGGCATTCCTTCCTGGATGCAAATTTCACGTTCAAATATTTATTTACTACTGCTTTATTTGGTTTACTTTTTCTTTGCTCTTTGTTTAGAGAGGCATAATGTCTTTCATCAATTGTTGTATCAGAGTTTGAGGCTGTATTTTCAGGCTCATTGTTGATATCTTCAGAGTTGATATCTGCATTATTGTCTTTATTGACGTTTTCCCCAACTTCCAGTATAGCACTTAAACCTTTAAACCATGTACAAAATACCAATTATGGTATGGTATATTGGAGTATATGGAATATTATGGTATTAAGATTTGGCTTCCACTACCGCTACCTTTCGCTGGCTAAAGACGTATTTGATTGGTTAATCGGGTGGAATAAACGCATCTGATTGGTTCATGATGTCTTAAAGGTAGCGGTAGTCGCAGTGAAAGTTAAATCTGAACCTTGCTAATAACCTTGGGAGAACCACCACTTTAGTTATATAGCAAACAGCTATGAAGGTATCTACTGTACCCCTACTCATATTAATATGCAATGCAAAAACGACTCTGTTTCTACAAATTCATAGCTACTAAGGGATTCACTGCATATATATAGAAGTATGCAGTTACTTACTTCGTTTTGGTAATTCAAGCTTCCGTTTGTTGGATCTGGCAGGGACTTTGCCTTGTGGCCTTTTGGCAGGCCTTGTGTTGGCAAGTCGCTTTTTAAGCTTATTGAGAATGAACATCTGAACAGAAAATCAACAAACCATTGAATAGGGATACTGTAATATGGCAACTAATTTTTAAAAGGGGTTTTACTGTGGTTTTGGTAATATGCATGTTTGTCTTTGTTGCCAAAAACATGATGGCCAATGTGGTTCCTAGATTACAGAACCATAAGTTTGCATGTGGTGCTGCATGGGTGTTCTTCAGCTTAGTCCCTGGCCTTCTTGTGTGGACTCAGTTGGGGGTTTACCCACCGGGGAAGGCCTAGCAAAATTCGAAATATGTAAATTATGAATTTCAGAAAGCAAACTTTCGAACTTTTAGTGCATGTATTTCCTTTTATGAGTCAAAATATTTTCATTCTTCATCCCAAAGCCATAAATTATCCAAAAAACAGCGATTATATTGTGTAAACCAGACGGGCAAAAATGGTTTAAATCAGGGCAAATTTGCAAATTGTGCTAGGCCTCCCCCCCATTGTTAATAGCCTGAGAACAGGTGTGAGGCCTTGCCTTCAAAGTATTGCAGAAGTGAAAGAAGGCCTTGGACTAGTTGGGTGTTCTTGTTTAAATTCCAGGCATCATTGGGGCATGCACCCTACTTTAGTATTTACTCTGTCTAACGCCAGACGATTTGACTCGTCAGTGGTAGAGCACTGGTGGTCAATGGTTTAACAAGCCTATCTGCCCACATCTTGTTAACTCATTAACGCCCAATGCGCCCTGAGATTGACAAGTGGGTAACAGACAATGGGCCCGAATGCGCCCTGGCATGACACCTTAACTTGCGGGCATGATATTTGAGCACGTGTTTATCGGGTTGCCTAGCAACGGATACGAAAATAGAACGTGAAATTCGAGCTTTTCAACGGTGTATCATGCAAGAAGATCGGTCAGAAACTCGCAAAGTTTTTCAAGTTTAAAATCTTAGTTTTCCAAAAATAATGAATAATGGCGACTCTGTTACAAAGAAAGATTTTACAGCAAGTTTTAAAAGCAAGAAAAGAAGAGGTTTCTGAATCAACTACAACGAAAATTTGGCATGAAAGGAAAGCGAATGTATTGACGTTTTGGGGCCAAGTTTTTCTGTGAACCATGCGCGAGATTTTCAGCCAAAAAGATGAGGATTTCTCCAAACTTTATTAAAAATAGAAGTCGGAAATCACAAGAAAGATGAACACGGAACACAAGTGAGCAGATACGATTTTTAAAGGGTATTTTTGAGTAGAAATATGCGATCAAACACTCACAAAATTCGACTGCATTAATGTTGGTTGAATCTAGTTTAAAGTTATCTTTTTAGACGAACTGTTTATGCAAATTTGGGCACAATTTCGACTGTTTTCGTAACCCCATTGTTGGTCTTCTTGTTCAAGTTGTTATTTTAGCTAAAGTATGTTTCAAACGACACCAGATTAAATTACTGTGTGCGTACGTGCCCTATTTGGCAAGAATACTTCGAGTATTAAATTACACTAAGTAAGTAGGGTACTCCAAAATCACTGTTATATCTATTTTCATCAATTTAGTCTTAAAATGACAACTCGTTTCAGACATATTGTGGTTTGAAATAAGTGTATTGAATTAATGCGCTTGCTTGCCGCGTGCGAATTCTCAAAAAGTCCGCACTTGAGTTCTAAAGCTTTTAAAATGCTTTTTGTATTGGGTTTTATATCCCCATAAAACTTTAAATCGATAAGGCAGATAGTAATGTTGATCCAACCTCATTTTCTAGTAACTACATGTTGAATCAGAAGGAAAAGTTATCAAAATTTGGTCGCGACGGTTGTTTGCCGTTGTTGTCGCTTCTCTCTGAAATGGCTTCCTTTGCGGGAAGCCATGAAACTGAAGTCCCAACAAAAACATAATTTAGCCGTCCTTTCGGGCCCATTGCTCGCTTATTTATCATGAAATCGTTTCACTAGAACATTTTTAATAATGTCTATGGGAAACTTTGTAATTTTCTGAACTAAAAGTTTATGGTTTTGAGGTGTTTATTTTATAAAATAGCACGCGCGACAAAATGGCACTAATGTGGTTTCTCATGTCTGACAAACAACCAAAGATGAAAGTCCTTATTTCACCCTTTTATAGCTATGTTGAATACCTGACTATTAGGTTATCTTTTTCATTTGAGCATACAGATAACATTTCTACACAATTAGTCCTAATGAAAGCTTATTTCAAACTAAAAAAAAGCGATTGTTTTTCAGAGCCAGACTTCAAAAGAGAACGCGTGTCTGACATTTTATAGCAGCCTACATTGGCGCGCAAAATAATTTTGGCTAAAAACCGTTTCTTTCCAAACAGAAACATGAGAAAATTGAGCTAAAAGGCTTACCTGATGTATGTTTAAAATGTTTTTCTCTTTATGGTGTTTTTCAGTGCTTTGAGTAGAGAAGTGAATAACTTTTGGTTTTGTCACCGCAATTTGCCTTTGAAAATGTCGGCTGTCATTGTCTGTGTTAAAAACACCTCAGAAAATTCCTATTTTCTCACCTTCCCATCCTTGGTTTATATTGAAAACAAATAGATTCTAGTACCGTATGTCCTTTTAAATATATTTGGGGTAATTAAAAACTCCAAAGATGTACAAGCACTGTGTTTTGGCTTGCACACTTTGTTGAATTTTAACACTTAGTTACTGTTCTAAATTTCATGTTGTAAACATCTTGCCCAAAAAAGCAAAGGAGTATTTTTATAATTTTTGATCATTTTCTAATTCATATCCCAATAGATGAAAATTGGTTATAATATAGATATGTACTAATTTAGTAAATTTTTTTTTTTTTGGTTTTTATATAAATATATGGAGATATTGCCCCTTTAGGTGATGAGTGACATGAAAAAAATAGTGTCACTGGTTTACAAATAAAAATTCTCATTGAAAAAACTAATGATATATATAGGTATGCAAGTTCATTTAAACTAAATTTGGTCAATCATATATTAATAATATTTGGTTGAAAAGACCAGATTTATTCATGCAACTGTTTCTGAGATATTGCCATTTTGGTGAAAGCTCTTGAATTCAGTCACGTATTCGCCATATTGCTTGGACGTTAGGGGGGTAGAAACATTGTAACAGCTTGCACGTTAATGAGTTAACAATTAAAACATATAGTTACTAATGGCCCTGTCGGGACACGAGAAATCCATAAACACAATATTGGCACTTAATAACCCCTACACCTCTTGTTATCAGTTATAAGATAACAGTTATAAGGATAAATATTATTGTACAGTACATCCTGTACCTGTAAATGCATGAAACCAATCAGAGCATCACAGAGATCAGCACCAAGCGTTTCATGTATTCTACTTAGATCTAAAATTCTTCTCTGATTTCCAACTCCAGTGTCAAAATACATCGCTGCTGGTATTGCTGGTTTATGACCTAACATTATGATAAAAACATCAGTATCAGGACTGCGTATGATAACATGATCATGAACTGCAGCGACGCGTTTTGCGTGAAGAAGTAGTCGTGCATATAGTTCAGCGCATTCTTCGATCAGAATTTCACCTTGGCTGGTTGTACTGACTTGATGGCACAGCTTCCCATGACTTACAAATAGTTCCATATTTCCGCGTGCAGTTGACAATCCTTCGACAGCTTTCATATGCTGGAAAATAAATTCAATCAATGCTTCTTTATTCTTTCCAAGAGACAGGAACTTCTTGAATTGTCTGGGCACTTTCTGTTGTGGACCTAGAATCATAATCATCATCGATCCTGTTTCCGCATGCTTACTCCTTTCCAGGTTCTTGATGCTTACATCAGGATATGTGTCACACACGAAATCAACCCTTGTTGACTTTGAACTCGCTGCTGATGACAAAATACGATTAATTATGACTTTCACCAAAGCCCCAAAGGTTTCAGGGATGCGTTTAATCGTCTGAATTAGTGCCATGCCATCCAGTATTAAGGCATTATTAGGTGGCAACTGATCAATTGCTGAGTCTTCTACACAACCTTCTAGGATATGCAATAACTTTGCTTTGGGTGTCTTCACTAGCTGTCCATCAACAGTTGATAATGGGGACGGGAATTTCCTAAGACTGTAGGGGAGAACCTCTTTCATGTCAACATCTCTTGCTTTGCCTACAGCAAGCAATCTGGAGATAAATTTCAAGTCGTTTTTCAGCTCGACAATTTGTCCTTTACTAGTTTTCACCTTTGCCTTCTTATCCATTGTTGAAAACGTGCTTAGTTTGGTAGCTTTAATTGTGGCAAACAGATCTGGTTCTTCACTAAGTAATTGCTCTGATATAAAAGTTTTACATTTCTGTTCTCCAATGTCCTTTGCACAGTTCATGTCTCTAGAGACATCTGCAGTAGCGACGTTTCCACTGGCAATATTGATCATGCTGTCTTCCACTTCAAAAGGGATTGCTCATGTTCGTCATAGTTTCCACAACACTGGCCACTTCCTGCTCATGGTATTTAGTTTGTGTAGCATCCATGTCTTTGCGTGTTCTACATTGAAAATGAAGTAGAATTTTACAGGTAAAATATTGCAGATATAGTTTGCAACTTACAAAAAACTGTGATAACTTCTTTTAGTCGCTAGCATAGACAAAATTTATACCTAACAAATATAAAACATTTTTCCGTATTGATTTTCAAATATATCAACATGACTGGAAATTGGGAAAACGAGAAATTTTGTGGAAACACAACGCTCGGAGGGCTGAGTGTTTTCAGACAATTTCGGGTTTTCTCAATTTCCACGAGTGTTGATATAACTGTATATCAATACAGAAAAATGTTTTATATTTTTTTATAATATAGCACAAAGCATAAAGAAAAAATTTTTCCGTGTTGATATTGTGGTATATCAACACAGTTCTTAGCCAATCAGTGTTCAGAATTCACAAATGCTATATTATAATAGATTATATCGCACACAGTGTATAGTTACGACAGCACATATTTACCTGGTTTCTGATGAATTATTTGTCATCTTGAGACACTGTCTGGTGATAGCGCCACGGTCTGCCTGTGCCATGATCCACCTGTGCACTGCATTTCTGTTTAGAGTGAATCCAACTAAACCACCTCTGACTTTCGAATCCCGATTGTATGTCTGCTCCATTACCTGGTCGCATGCTGTGGATGAGAAACATGATTTTTCTGCCGTTGATAGGTCCAGTTTTCTAAGATATCATTGGTTGCCCCTGCGGGGTATTTACAAAGTTGGGAAATTACAATTGAGATAAGTTTTGAATAGAATATAGAGACAGTGGTAGATGAGTCTCTCTCAACCTAAAAGAGAAAAATAAAACTTGTCTACATTCCGAGCAAAGACTTTTGATGAAGGGCCTTTGCTCCAAATGTCAGGATGTTTTATTTCTCTCTTTCAGGTTGAGAGAAAATCATGTACCACTGTCTCGATATTCCCACAAACTTAACCTCACTGACCCCTACCTAGGACTCTAAACTAATACTGACAAAGTATAACACTGAGCTTTTAAAGTATGCCTAACCTGGATGTGTTGTTTCAAGGCAAAACATTTCAAGCCAGTAAGCTGAACCATATCTGGCATAATGAACTCTGTCCATCACAAAAAATCAAGGAAGCATAGATCTAACTGCTGAGAGATGTTGATCCCAGTTGTTTTCTCGTGTTGCACGCAAGAATATCAAAATGACTTGAACCATCTCGATGTAATTCAGCCACAGAGCAAATGTTGGTTTTTTCTCAGCCTCTGATTGAGCAAACGTAGCAACAGCCATTCTTAATTGTTCAAAATCCTCTGAGATCACTTCTGTCAAGTACTCTTCACAAGGAAACTTTGCAGCAAGGTTTTCTATAATGTATAAAATGTGCATCTTAGTTTACTGATCTTAAAAGCAATAGATTGTTTCCACATACACATGCAACGGGAGTTGAATGTTGAAGAAAAACATTGTTTTGTTTTAACTTTTTAGGTGCCCAGTAGTATTCTAAACTACCAGATCACTGGACACTCACTTTAAGTTGCATATTTTCATATTATAAGGAGACTCTTATGCATCAATGGGCGAGACCGCCCTTGATGGAATTGTTAATTGCTGGACTAAGTGTAATTTAAAAAGAACAGTAGTTGTGTGAACTTGCCAATCATGGTAATAGTTTCATCCTTTTTGTCTGCAGAAAGTGACTCAAGATATCTCTGAAACAACAATCTTACTAAGGCCTCATAGACAACCTTGTGTGACCTAACACTTCTGTTGTAGTGCTTGCCCGACATTACTCCATTTATTGATCCAACCGCTACAATTTCAGACTCAATAAGGATGTCCTATAAAAATAACAACAACATTGTCATTCTTAACTATAATTTAAAAAACAAACATCTCTTTTATCAAGTATAAAATCCCTGGCTTGGCCAAGTGTTTCATATCTGGTAAAACAAATGCAAAAGCTAGTTTTTTAAAATAACTTGCATATACATATAAGAAGGTTAAGGCTTTCCTTGTAACCAGATGTCGACCATGTAACTTATGTGTTGAGCAAGCTGTTTAACCCATTGAGCCACAATGCACCCGCGTTCGCCCTACTTATTTTTTTACTTGTCATGTCTAACACCAGACGATTTTACTTGTCAATGGGACAGCTCTGCAGCTTAATGGGTTAACCAAAAAATCTGACAATGTATCTATCCATTGAGCTGCAATGCGCCCAAGTGCGTCCTACTTCTTTGTTTACTTGTCTAACGCCAGACAATTTTACTTGTCAATGAGGACGCTCTGCAGCTTAATGGGTTAACAATGAAAATTATGCATGTTAAAAATACCTTTAATCCAGCATCTTTAAACAGTTTGGAAATTGCTCCACAATATGACATTGCCATGTGAAAATCCCCAAGTCAGACAATAAATCGGCTGAGATACCCCTCTTCCTTCCATCTAATGTGCTGAACTTTGGCATAGATTGCCTCATCAAAAACCAAGCACATGTATTTCAAGTTCAGTTTGTCAGCTATCTTCTCACTCTGATTAAGTATCTCCTTTACTGTTGAAAGTTCTGTTGGGCTTGCATCAATTATGGGCAGATACCCAATTTTAGACTGAGTATGTATGTCTCTCTTATAAATAAGTTTGGTGTTGAATCCTGTGCAGTTGGGAAGAGTGATTCCTTTACCGAGATATCTGCACAAGGTGAATGCAAGGTCTTTCTTTTTAGCATCATTCTGGGGTTCAACATGATGTTCTTCTCCAATTTCGTTGTTCTGCATTGCATCACTCAAGTTAACAGTTTTTCGTTTTCCAAGAAATATGGTTCAATATCCTTTGATGGTGCTAGGACTGATTTCCTTCGGGAAATACTCTCTCTTCTCTCTAACTCATAAGATACAGCAACATCCCTTTGAATGATAATTCCTCCAGTTATAGGAGTTGTTCCCTTTCCAGATCTAGTTTCTTCTGAGAAGTCATCATTATCCCATGCAAGTGTAGTTGGTACATTACCAATAAAACCGGGAGGAACAGTAGAGTCCTTAGATATATTCAACTGTGCTAGTGCTGTTTCATGAGATAATACGAATGAGTAAGACATGCAATGTCCCAAGCCACTTAATAAAGATATAACTGAGGCTGATCCTGTCAGTTGCCTAAGTGCCATGGCAAGTGCTATGCTCTTTGGAGTGGGATTCCTTTGATTAGATGCTAAGTTTACTAGGTCTTGTGTAATTGACATCAGTTTGGCACTCTCTTTATGGTCTATTTCCACATAATTGTTTAAAGTGGGCTCGGATGAAAAACCACAAATCCATGCCAGTGTGTTGAAAAGCTCACATGGAACCATTTTCGTCACATTAGTCATTGTCAGATCTGATGCTAATGGAGGCCAAGGTAGATCAAGCTTGGGGATTTCTTTAACCTTTTTTTAAGAATTAATGCTGCATTGTATAAAACTTGCAACTTGTTAAGTTGAGAATTTGCAGGTGTTTCTGTATAAGAATTGTTATCATGTACCTCACTTTCACCGATGCAGTCACCTTCATCAAATTCTTCATCAGTATTTTCGGCTTTATTCCACATATGTTCCTCAACTAAATCAGAAGTATCCAAGTTCTCAGCATACACAATTTCACTCACATTTCTAGATTTAGGCAAATAGAATACCAACTGGGGATAACTGTTAATTAGCCGTTGCTTGAGCTTGGAAGACCTGTATTCCAATGCATCCACATTCTCGGTTTCCTTAGCAATAGCAACAAATTTCTCAAGTAAGTGCATCATGTACATTATTGCTTTTCCCTTGATGATTTCAGTTTCGACGACTTCTTTACAAAATACATCATAAGATCTTTCATACATTGTTACACATGTTGTGGTCATCTTTGTCTCCCTTGCAAGGAATATGGTATAGTTGCTATAGCAAACTTTGTGGTAGCGGACCTCCAATGCAACACAGTCTTTATCTCTAATCTGCACAAGTATCCGCTCATCATTTTTCCTCTCAGCTAGTAGATATAGTTAGTAAATATTTGACATGCGAACTAAACAATATGTCAATATACATAGTTCATGAAATGCATTTTAGAGCCATAAAAATATATTGTCCAGTAACCAGTTTCCCATTTCAATAATTTAAGCTAAGAAGGAAACAATAGAGAATAATTTTGAAACAGAACTGTGATTACTTTGGGTATATATTTTATCATCGAATCATGTTATATAAATTCTCTGCACTCTTCGGAGCCCATCTGGCTGAATAATAGAAATAAGTATTTCAAGTCAAAGAAATGTTTTCTTGGCAAATAAAAACATCAAAATTGTTTTCTTACCTTCCCTTTTTAGTGTGAAGTTTCACTTCACACTGTTGTGATGGCTGGCGAATTCACACGAATCAGTCAGTCAATCAGTCAGTCAATCACAGAGTAAACTTTCCAGGGGGTGTATACGATTTATGTTCGCAGTGATTTATTGTACTTAGTCAGTGCTTTGAAGGTTATTTAAGCGATTTTATTTATTTTCTTTAAATATTCTTTTGTCCTTTTGCCAAGTTCACAAAAATTTCGAGGAACTGTTGTCGTTATTGTAAATTTTTGTAATTTTAGAACATTCGCTTCTCATGTTGTGTAGAGGATCTTTCCCCCGGAACACCCGATTTTTTCTATAGCAGCGCAAATGCACATGCGCTATGAAGCCATAGATCACGATGCCAGGAAGGGGCGACAGTGTTGTTTTCAAATGTATAAACAATTCAGACGTGAATATTGAGTAAATCTTTGAGAATCTACGCAATATATAAATTTATGTTATGCATGACGGTCTTTCAATCAAGTACTGATATATGTAGACGGTATATTCATTATACAGAGCTAGGAAGGAGCGACAGTGTTGTTTTCAAATGTATAAACATTTCAGACGTAAATATTGAGAAAATCTTTGAGATTCTAGGCATTCAATTGAGTGCCGACATTATTTTCACGGCATACTCATTATACAGAGGTACAGTATGTAGGCAGAAGCGAGACAGTGTTGTTTTCAAGTATATAAACATTTCAGACATGAATATTGAGAAAATCTTTGAGATTCTACGCAATAATACAATATTATGTTATGCATTACCTGCATTCAATTAAGTGGCCATCGATATTATTTAGACCGTATACATTGTCATTGACTGTATAAGGTGCTACATCACAGAATAGATGGCTACACTCAGTACAAAGAGCGAAAAATTGCATCAGATATGTATCAGATAAATAAAGCATAAACAACTATTAAACAGAAGCAGGTAAACGTTTGTACGGCGTTTACGAAGAAAATACCTTGCGAGACTAAAGAAATCAGTTGAGTCAGAGCTCCTTATTTAAATAAGAAAGACGAGGATAGCCAATGTGTTATCGCCAACGTGTTATTGCCAATCGCTTGGCTCGCCAACAAGTTTTATGTAATAGAAAAAGAAAGCAAGGAGGTACATGTAGCCAACGTGTACCGTCACAGACCTTGTCTTTGTTTACTGTCTAGCACAACGCCGTTGTCAATGGTGCAAACTCTTGTTCAGTGCAACGATAATTCTACCAGATCTTACGAGAATCAATCTGTAGTATTCTGTACACAGAGCTGTTCAAAGCTTGTCAAAACTGCTTTAAACACTGCTTAACTGTGAAACTATTGAAATCTAAAGTAGTGACATGCGAAAAGCCGAAAATAGACATGACACTGGGAAAAGTCGAAGGTCAATGAGACTTGTTAGGCCCGTTTCATACGTCGCACTATCGTCGAATTTAATTCAGACAAATTTAATTGAACCAATTAAATGCGACGTTAGTGCGTCGTATGAAACGAATTAAATCCGTCTGATGAATTAAATTTGTCCAAGACGTTGTATCCGTCATGGTCAGACGGATACAACGTCTGTAGCGTGTCTTCGTTTCATACGACGTGTTATTGTCGTGTCGAATTAAATGCATAAATTATGTTAAAGTCTGTTTCTCTCTTTCTGGTCTTGTGGTTTTTTACTTCTGGGTAATCCATGATCGCTAAACATGAAATGAATTCGTCTGAAGTAAATTCGTCATTTGAAACGAAACCATTTTAGTGTCGACCAATTGACGAATTTAATAACGAATTAAATTCGTCTGAATTAAATTCGACGTATGAAACAGGCCTTATTCAGTTATTGTGAACATCTCACAATTAGGTTAAAATGCGGAAGCGGATGGAACGGATCCACAGAACGGATATGCGGATAAAATACGGAACGGATGAGGATAAAATGCATCCTTTTAGTGATGTAACGACGTAGTGCTTATTATTCATTACATATCTTAAGGCGGTTTTCCAGTCCTCGCACGAAGCTCCTCGCAGCTCGCTGCGAGTGGTTGCATCTAATTAAAATTAACTCTTAAGCATTGTGATTGGATGAAAGTGCTCATGCATGCACTTGCAGCGAGCTGCGAGGAGCTCCGTGCAAGGACTGGAAATCCGCCTTTATACAGCTATTTCAATTATATTTTTGGATAAATTTAGCATAGCAGTAGCCTCGTGGGGATGCTTTTAGCTACAGCTGCAAATGCAAATGAAAATTTAGAATATGCAAAATTTGGTTGTTGGTGAAACAATTTAAATTTTGAATTGTCTCATGTAGCATCACAATAAATAGATAAATTGCATCAGTTTCACAAGGCACGTTCCTGGTGTGTTAGGCTTGTTTCAAACGTCACGCTACTCATGTGCCGAGCGTATTAAAAGCAATAAATAATGAGATGAAATGCCTTTGGTAACTGTTTATTTCGTAGTGTAAGCCATCAGCTTTTCTAGGTTGTCGGCGACCCTATATAGTTCTTACAGTGTCTTTTTCAATTTGAAACTTCACACTATCCTTGGATCCCTAGTTATAATTCTGGTCGATTTTTGCCATTCAAATGGCTGAGAGCGGCAAAAATTAGGATTTAGTAGTGGCGATGTCAATTTCACAACACATTTTATTATTGTTCTTGCTGGGGTGTCCTTGCCAGAGTAATGACGGCCGACCGGAAGTCGCGCGTGTCGGCAGCATCAAAAACATCAAAGGAGTGAGCCATCTATATGAACAAGTTGTCAACAATGTTGTTGCAAGTTTTCTTGACAACTTGTTCATAGTGGGTGCTGCCTGTCAATATCATCAACCCGGAACAACTTGTTGATTTTCTCAATTTTTATGTGTGTACCACTATGCTTTTTATTACAGACTCAGAAACCATCACATTTTAAAGATTATCTTGAGTCTGACTTTATTTTTTTATATTATTATATATTCAAAATATCATATAGGATGTAGACGTAGTAGTAGGTAAGGCCTGTCCTATATGTCCAAAGTATAAATTGGCAAATAATATATTAGAATCATGTACTGTGTTTGACGACATGTCTCTTTTGAATTTTATGGTTTCAGAATCAGTTAAGTTTATACACTAGTAGTATTACCACCCCCCAATATGGAAGAATTTTCCCATCAAAAAGTCAGCAGTTTTTGCATATGTAGATGATGTTGCATATGTACGCAGGGGAGTGACATCATAATGTGTACGTGTGCGTATGGGGAGAGTATCCCCCATATAGCGTAAATTTTCCCGCCAAATGACGACATGGGTGTGCACGCGTTTTTATAGGGGTGCGCACGCGTGCGTATGGAGAGAGTATAAAGGAATGTAATGGCGAAAGAATTTTTTATTATTGAGCAGGAAGATGAATTGGAGAGAAATGACTGTGTGTTGGCTTGCCGAAAAGGGTGTGGTATTAGTGGGAAATTTGGAGATAATGGAATTGGTGCAATTAATGGTGGAGAGGAATATTATACCTGCGTGGCTTATGGACATTGCATGGGGTATTATTAACACAGATTATGTGGGAGAGGTTAAAGGGGATTACCGTACCCCGTGCTCCACAACCGGGAAATTTTACCTATCATATGAATGCTAAGGAAATGATGAACGAGGACTTGGCTAGAAAAAGCGGGCAGCAGTTCCTGGCATTGGAAAAGGAAACGGGAGTGAACTTGGATTGTTATTATAAGTTAAAAATAGGAATTAATAGTAATGGTATTTAACAATAGTTCAAATTCATTTACACTTTGGTTTTTATAATGAACGGTTCAGACAGGAAGCTTCGTCTGATAGAAGTAATATATGCCAAGATCATTGCACATGGTATTGAAAGTAGATTTAGACTGTTTTGTTGCGGATGTAAAGTATGTGATAAGGATTGCTTAATGTTGGATTAGTTTGGAAAATGGAAGATGTACGGTTTTGACGCTATGGAGGAAGCCGGAACTAATTACGCTGTTTGGCGTGAATTTACTAATGTTAGTGAAATCCTGAATGTTCCGTTTGAGAAATATTTCACGGAACACTTGTTGAGCTTGGAAGAAAACCCTGATCTTATGTTGGTGGAATCATTATTTCAAGAATGTAATGACAATCAATCATTAATTGAAGTTCTATGCGATTTGTCTAATCCTAGAGTAGATCAATTGGAACAGAACTATCTCAAGGATAAACTTCAAGAACATTTTAATAATTTGTAAAATATACTTTTTGTTAATGAGTAAAAGTATTTAATAGATACATTGTTTTGTAATGTTTATAATAAAGTTTTTTAAAAGAAGTTTATTGAGATTGTTCGGTGATTCAGTAAGAGAGGTAGTTAACGACGGGTTCATACTTGAGATGTGTGGAGCCTTTTCTGAGATTCATGAGAAGTTGAAGGATGGTTTCGTAGTTTTTCCATAAGTTAGTATAGTGATAATTTAATTTCATAACGCGAATGGTGTCGAGAAATTCTTTCCATACGATGTTTTTAGCGTGAATATGTGCAAGGACTTCTTGTCCGTGCATGGCCCATCCTTCATTGACAGTCATCATGAGGCAATGGGGTGATTCACTTCGCATCCACAGCATTGTTCGGTATGTAATTGTCCCACTTGTTCGGCAAGGAGATCAAGGAGTATGGCATTGAGGAGATTGCAGAGATCTTCTATTTCAGACGGTACGACTTCGTCTGTACTTAGACTGTGTGTCCATGTGAATGAATTATTCATTATGATAATAAACGTGAGGGGTTACTGGGCTTTTTTTATAGGCAGTGTCGTGCGCTGTTATTTTATTGGATGTCTTGCGCAGTAGAGATTGAATTTTTTATGAGCGCAAGTCGTTGTTTTGGGGGAAGATGTTGTACGCGTCATGTGGCGTGGATGAGATAATTTAGTAACTGTGGTGCAATGGAGGTGTTAAAAAATGTGATAGGTGTATTGGACATGGATGGTTTTTATATTGGGGGTCAGTTTTACTGTAAGGAACTGGGAATGTGGAAGGTTGGGGATGTTTATGCAAAGTCGTATATTTTTTTGACATCGGTATGAAATGGGGTGAATTGAATGAGAAGGCAAGGAGGCAGTGCCGTTATGTGATACGGAACGTGCACCGTATACCGTTTGGGGTTCCGGAGGGATCGAAGGCTGTGGGTTTGGGGCAGTTGGATGATATTGTATTGAAGTTTTATCAACGGTACAAAACGGACGTTGAATTTGCATTGGCCTACAAGGGGAGTCACTACAAAAGGGATTTGTTGAATAGATGAAATATACTGGGTGTGAATTTGGAAGCGTGTGGGTGTCCGAGGGCGGAGGTATTGTTTGATCAATTGGGATGGTTGGAGACGTGTGAAAAGCATTTGACGACCGTGGAGGCATACAGACACTGTCCAAAATTGAAAACGGAAGCATTTGGATATTGGTTGAATCAGAATGTGTAACAGGTATTTAAATGAATATACAATTATTATACAGGGAACTTAATCTTTGAATTGCGGACGTGTGTTTTTGCGTGCGTACGCAAAGATTTATTTTATGTAGCTTTTGGATTATTGTTTTTATTTTTGGGATGGAAAGTACTGTTGAAATCAGCAGCGAGGAGTACGAAGCGGCTAAAATTTTACTAAGTTTGAAGTATTCGGGGAATAGCGATACTGGTCCGCAATTTCCTTCGGGGTCCTGTGCTCCTATACAGACACCCATGATTATGTTATCGCCGTGCGCGACAACTTCTGCACTGCCGATAGCTACACCATATGTTTTGTGGCATGGTAAGTGGGGAATGTTTGTATATAGTTGAAGTGGGGGTATTGTTTTTAATGATTTTTTCGTTTTAGATTTATTTAGTGAGGACCGCGAAAGGCATGGTTTTACGACGGAGGAACTGGTGGCTTTGAAGGGAATGTATGCAAGTAGTGGGGGGCGTCCAACAGTACTGGAAAGGAAAAGTTTAATGGCACGATTTGGTTTGTTGAAGGAGAAGGTATGTGGATGGTTCCAGAACAGAAGGTCTTGGGAGAAAAGGACAATTGAAGTAAAAAAAAAAACCCATTAAATAATAATTGACATTGTTGGAATTTTGAAGAAATGTATATTTGTAATGTTTGAATAATATACTGAATTGTACATTGAATTGTTTGCATAAAAATTTTTTTTAAAAGATTAATTTATATTTTTTTACATTTTTGAATAGTATTGAACTGTACATTAAATTGTTTGGATAAAAAGAGATTAATTTATATTTGTAACATATTAAATTGTTTGTTATTGATCATTAAAAATGTTTAATTGTTCTGGCGTAATATCATCGCTCAGAATTGTGTTCATAAAAGTATCGCTCAGGAGGCCATTGAGATTACCCAAGGTCCAGTTGGTCCAGTGTTTGGGGATTGTCGACACTCACGTTCATGCCTTGAATCGTTTCGGTGGGTGGCATTGGGTGAATGTAGGGTGGTATTGTCGCGGTGGGCAGGGGTTCCTTGTCCATCTCCCCATTTGTTTCGGCATATTCGCCCTGTATCTTTTCCAGAGGAATTTGTTCTGGGCCTTTAGTTTCTTGTTTTCTTCTTTAGCCCTTTGCCCGTTTCGTTTAGCTCTTTCATTTTCCTGTTGCGTATATGTTAGCTTTTTTTTCCCATTATTGGCATGAATTTTTAAGTGATAGACTTGCCCGGAGGCAAAAGTTGTCTTTTTTGTTGACGTTTCCATAGCAACAAATTCTAAAGATGGCGTTGTGTGCGTTCGCAGTTGTAAGTATATAAGACAGAAATGAATATTGCGTGGACAAATGATGCTTTATTTTGTGGAGAAAGCATTCTGCAGTTGTTGAAAAATTTGTTTTAAACGTTCGATTATTCGAACGAACGGATTTTAGAGGGTGTTGCAAAAAGGACGTGTACTTATTTAAAAAAACGGCACAAGTAATTTAAGTGGTTTTTTCTGTTGTTTTAGACATGGATATTGTAAGAAAAATTATTGCTTGTGGGACGATTGACGAATTAACATTGTTGGAAAGTTTATATTTATTGAATGATTACGAACAAGGATTAGTGTATGAGAGGAAAGTCGAGATTGTTACACATTTGCTGGAATGGGGCTTGGAAAACAAGCGACATGGATTAGCAGCGAATCTTTCTGACTTGTGGACACCGGAACAGAGACGTAATTTTCTGGTTGAATGGAACGATGATGAACCTTTTCAAATGATACTGAACGAAGAGGCACTGCAACATTCAAGCGATGGGCCTTTGGTACAGTCGGGACGTGGGGAAAAAAGATCAATCGACGAAGTGAACGAGGGTGCAAGTACATCCGAACAGGTTAGCGAGAATAATTATTTTACCGTAACGAATGTAAGACAAGTTCATTTGAAAAAGTTTAGGACTACAGGTACCGATTACACTGTACGGTTCACAAACACCTTTGCTAACATGGAACTTTCCCAGTATCACAAGCATCTTCACGAGATATTTGAAAGTTTATTGAACACTGTGACCGAGGACATTCCCGAAAACGACCAGGTCAGTTTTGTGTTGCAATCGCCTCAACTTGAAAAACCAATTTCTCTTCCTTTCTTATCTGCTTCTCGACTTACAACCGAGCGAATTTTAGCTCAAATTGAGCATGTTGTGCAGTGCAATCACACATTTCGTCTGAATGATTCTGTAAATGTCAATGTGATTCATGTTGAAATGCCTCAAGGAGGAACTGGCACAAAACGCAGTGAAATCAATTTAGAGAAACATTTAACAAACAAAAGATCGATTATTCATATTCAAAATGAAGACAATTTATGTTTGGCTCGGGCTTTAGTTGTTTCGATTGCAAAAATTGAAAACGATAGTTGGTACAAAGTGATAGTTAATCATCACAATTCATTGCAAGAGTGTTTAGCTCATGATTTGCATCAAAAAGCAAATGTTTCAATCGGAAAGTGTGGCATCGACAAAGTCAAACAGTTTCAGACTTATTTGACCGATTATCAGATTAATATCGTTTCGAAAGAACATCAAAATTCCATTATTTTTTCCGGACCTGACAAGGACAAAAGGATTTATTTGTTTTTGCATGACAAGCATTATGATGTAATCACAAGCATGCCAGCTTTTTTCGCCAGAAAACGGTACTGTCACACCTGTAAAAAACCATATGATAAAACAGTGGACCATATGTATCCCAATGCATGTCAATGTTGTCATTTTCCAAATTGTCCAATTGTTTTGTGGGTTTCCTGTGTTGATTGTAATCGTATGTTTAAGAGTCAAGAGTGTTTTGATCGCCACAAACAAAACATAGTTCTAATAATAAATATTAAAGCCCAGCAAAGTGCTTTGAAAGAGCCATAAACCATTAAATTAAAAAAATTTTATTAAAGCTTTAGTAACGTTTCGTCTTAACTCAAGACATCTTCAGACTATAGATTTCATGGCCTCACTCGTTCTGATTTTACTAAACTCTTAAGTCTTTCTGTCAAAAATTGTCATTTCGTGTTCAATGGTCGTTTATATCATCAAGTTGACGGCATAGCTATGGGTAGTCCTTTAGGACCTTTGTTTGCTAACATATTTATGTCCTTTCACGAAAAGGATTGGCTTCACAACTGTCCTTCGTCTTTCAAACCACTTCTCTATAGACGATATGTTGACGATTGTTTCCTACTTTTCCGTTGCTCAGAGCATGTACAGCTCTTTCTCGCATATCTTAATCGCCAGCACACCAACATTCGCTTCACTAGTGAGGTTGAACGTGATGGTAAGCTCCCATTTCTTGACATTGACATATCCCGCTCCAATGGAAAATTTTCTACTTCTGTTTACCGTAAACCTACGTTTACTGGTCTTTTTACCAACTTCCATAGCTTCATTCCACTTACATACAAACGCAGCATAATATCTTGCTTAATACACCGCATCTTTAGCATTTGTTCTAGCTATGAGACTTTCCATCACCAACTTGAAGCAGCACGTAGAATGTTTATCTTAAATGGTTTCCCTTCTCACATGTTCGACCGATGCGTTAGAACATTTCTCAACAAAGTATTTCAACCTAAGCTACCTGTTCATATTGTTCCTAAGAAAATAATTTATTTCTGTCTCCCTTTTACGGGCACTCACTCCTTGCAAATTCGCACGCAAATCAACCGTCTTTGTCGTGCTGCTTTCCCACATCTTGATATAAGATTTGTCTTTCGATCAACTAAACGGCTCTCAACCTTTTTCTCTTTTAAGGACAAAATACCCAAAGCACTGAGGTCGGGTGTAATGTACTCTTTTACGTGTCGATGCTGTTCCGCATCGTATGTGGGTCAAACCACGCGCCATCTACACACCCGAGTTTCGGAACATCTGGGGATCACTCCTATCACTGGCAAACAATGTAAAAATCCTCCCCAGTCCAGCATTTTCTCACATCTCACATCCACAGGCCACGCTGCTTCTATCGACGACTTCGAAATCCTCTCCTCTTGTTCAGATGAACAAGAACTCCTTATTCATGAAAGCTTTTTTATCTCTAAAATGAAACCCTCTCTCAACGTTCAAGGCAGTTCAATTCCTCTTCACGTATTCTGATTTCTTTTTTTTATGTTTTGTCTGTTTATGTTGTCGTCTAATTTGTATATTCTTATTTTTGTCCGTCATTTCCCTTCATTATCCATTCTTATCCTTACGTTTTGTGTACCTCGTATTCGCTTGTAATTTAATATTGCTATGATAGCTTTACTTTATGCTTAATTACTCTTACAGCTTGTAATTTAATATAGTCTGAAGATGTCTTGAGTTAAGACGAAACGTTACTAAATCTTTAATAAAATTTTTAAATTTAATGGTTTATGGCTCTTTTAAAAGCACTTTGCTGGGCATTAATATTTATTATAAATAATACTATATAAATATATGAATGAGGTTGATAAATATAAATACACATACATACACACACAGTCACATAAGTAGTTAGCAGTCAAAAGCAGCCAAAACATGATAGTGTGTAGCAAAGGATGTATTTTTCATTTGATTCATTGCATAAATGGTGTGAAATTCAAATTTTATAGTAACTACAGTATTGATGAAATCACTTCATTATGCATGAGTCATTTTTAAATAGCTCTCTCGGCTCTCACCTCTTCCCTGGGATTGGCTGGGGATTTATTTTGGCCATAATTTAAAAATACACAAAAGCCCCTATACCTGGGGAGTGCTCCATTCTAGTCAAAATGTGACTAGCTGTTCATAAATATGGAACAGATGAGAGCACAAAATGACCATACAAGTGGGAGACCTGCCAAATAAATCCCTGCAAGTGCTTCAAGATCTTGGGCATAATAGTGCTGTGCAAACTCCAGTTTTTCATCTCCGGCTCCGGCCGAATTATAGCTCTGAGCTCCGGCTCCAGTCACATCATAAAATATTAAATAAATGTTTTACGATCAGAGAACATTTATTAATATTGTTATGAATAACCCTTTTCGCGCTTCCTAATTATCAGATAACATAACTCAGGAAACAAAACAGTGAAAACACTTAACCACGCAGAAAGTACTGTATCTATATGGAAACCAGCCTCAAAATTTTTTTGACAGTTTTGCAATTTTATATAGCATGACGAGAGGCATGACGCTAACACTCTCAGACTCCACAGCACAATTGTTCGCACACAAACAAAGTACTATGTCATTTTCAAAAGGTTGATATTTATTTGTTTTGTACTTTTTCGTTATCTACAAGGCATGAATGCACAGACTATGTAGCGCTAAGACAGATGGCTTCATGAAAGCATAACGTTTGTAAGTTGCGATCGTATTACAGCTTTTCGACACTGTTCCTGTGGGCTGTGGCAGTTTGAGTCTATGATGAATTCATTAACAGCAATTGGCAGTTTGCAGTAACTAACAATCGTTTGACAATTGTCTCATTTCAATTGTTTTCTTGCCATTTTGCCGGAGTTGGGAAAACATATTTTCTGCTCCGGCGTCGGAAAAACTGCCGGAGCTCCGGCAGAACTCCGGCGCACAGCACCGGGGAATAACATCCTTTCCATGGGGGTTAACATTTACTCACACATGTGTGGGACCCCACTGTTGAATTACAATAGTATATTTGCTGCAATGGCCAAGCAGCAAACTGGTTGGGGCTTCATTTTTCTGGCGTGACTGCTAATTCAGCTTAACACATATTGAACAATAAATAGCAATTAATCCCCGAGCCAACGGTGCGGAGCGCTGTTCCGGGCGTAAGCCTGGGGCGAGGGTACTAATTCCCCCCGGGTGTACTAATCCCCCCCCCGGTTTTGGGTGCCAAAAGGCAGTTTAGTTTTGCAAAGAACACTTTATAACGTTTTGCGAAGCGTTGGTGGTTGAATTTTACCTTAAAATTGAAGCTTATATTACGTATAATAACATACCTAACAAAAATATGTTTGGGAAATTGGTAATTTTGTAATTAAAGTGATATTTTTACTGTCGATGCAATGGAAGTGTTGATAAAATATTGCATGAATTCATTTCCTCAAGTTGATCAATTCATACGAATTCAAATTTCTTTTTACTTCCTGTGCGTTTCCTATTTGACAATCGGTTCTGAAACGAAATCTAATTGGCTCATTTAAAAGTAACAGGAAGTTGATCAATTTTGAATTTTCTATCAAATGAATTGATCAACTTAATTGAGGAAAGGAATTGGTGCAATATTTTATCAACACTTCCATTGCATCGACAGCAGGGGATTTTATCATTTGTAAAAATATTCTTAAAAAATAACGTGTTACCATGACAACTACTTTAAATACTTCAATACTTCATGTTCGGAAAATACAATGGTTTTGTCAGAAGGAGAGGGTTTCTGCCATAGAAATAATAGTTCTTAGGTAAATATTTCTATGGTTTCTGCATGCATGTATTTTCTAGTCTAGAATATATATTTGGAATGAAACATTCCCTGTTCACCCCTACAGTTAACATGTATGTACTTTTATTCATACATTGTAAATAGTTTATTTAAGTATAATATTGAATTTTAAAGTTTGTATATAGTTTAAAAAAATGAATGGGCCTTATATAAGAGCTGAGTGCATGGGCTACCTTGTTGGAATAATGTTTACCATACCAATACCTAAATATGTGTTATTCCTGGCTTAGCATTGACTCTATTATGTGATTTGGAGAGTCTGAGACATGATTAGGCAACTGAACTAGATAGACAGTTCTAAGACGTTTTAAAACGGTACAAAATGAAAGTCAGTTAAACAATTACTGTGACCATCAAATAGTGCCAGTACTCTCCCCCTGAATCCTGATGAGTAAATTGTGTGATGTTAGTCATAGTAAAATAACAAAGTGCATGGGGCATATATGAGGGTGCAATGCCACTTGAAGGGTTAATACAGTATTTTTATCCAATACTTGCTATGTTCGTTTCTATTCAATAGCCCTGCTACGGTAAGCTGATCAAACCAAAGCTCGCTGAAGGAGTTAAGTTTGATACTGAAAGAGTTATCAAAATGGCTGGTCAAGGGGCAGTATATGTTAGGTCACTGTTTCCTATAACAGAGGAAGATGAAGATGATGAAAAGCTATACAATTCCACATTTCAAACAAGGTATGTAGTGTCATTAAATTTGTCTATAATAGAGATTAGTGAGTAAATTCTATCTCGTTTGGTTTAGTTTGAAACGGGATAGTTTCGTAGATTACAGTAGCTGATTACAAACTGCCTTTAGTGCAACCTATTCAAATATGGTGGATTTATACTTTAATTGTCTACGGTACCGTAACTTATTTATCAAGCTCTCTTTCTAATAAGCCCCCCCCCCTTTTTATGTAAAGAAATTAATTTATTAACTCCCAATATATTACATTAAGCCACCCCCGTATTAAATGTCCCCTCTATTAACACAAAACCACATTCATTTTTAAAAGATTTAACTAATTTTACATAAGTTAGTTAAATCTTAAAAACCAACGTGGTTTTGTGTTAATAGAGGGGACATTTAATACGGGGGTGGCTTAATATAATATATGGAGGTTAATAAATTACTTTCTTTATATACAAGGGGGTGGGGACTTATTAGAGGGGGAGCTTAATGTTTAAAGTCAAATTAAAAATTTACAAATTTTACATAAGTTTGTAAATTTTTATTTTGGCTTTAAACATTGCACTTGTTTTATCGTAAGTGCCAAAATAAATATTTGTAGGGGTGCACTGGATAGTGATTTTCACTATCCAGCCGGACACCGGATTTGCCGGATGTCTGAAAAAAATCCGGCCGGATATCGGATATTTTATCAATTTGAATACTTGACATATAATATATATTATAAGGATTTTTCTCGTCCATGTATTAGTGCAGAAGAAGGTGACACTATTTTTTTGGAGTTTTTGAGTAAATAATTAATTGTGGTTAATTAAAAATCTGTTTTTAACTTTTTCCAATGTTTATGTGTTCCCGAAAACTTCCGAAAGTTTTTGAGCGATGGGATTTAGTACGCCTTTTGGTGCCAAATGCTGAGAATAGTTAATTAAATCAGTTAATTATATCAGTGGCTAGCTTTTTCCCCTGTCCTTTTTCAGGTTTCTATTTTTTTAGTATTTTTTATGTTCAATTAACGGACATTTAGTACACTTCATGAAAAACAAATTATCCGGTATCCGGCCGGATAATAGTAAAAATCTGGCCGGATATTACTATTATCCGGCCGGATACCGGATAGTACAATTTTGTCACTATCCGGCCGGATACTATATCCGATGCACCCCTAAATATTTGTCAAACACACATTGTATTGTCGAGAAATAACCCCCCTCTTTTAAGCCATCCTCCCCAATAAGCGCCCCCTAAAGGTGCCTGAAAAAAACGCCTGAGGATTTATCAAAAGTAAGTGCAATAGCTCTTTTGGTTTAAATTTAGTATTTTATTGCGCCCCCTGGCATATATTTTTTAATATATACATATTATAACTGTAGTTCGTTTGTATAGTGAAACTGGAGGCACTGGCAACCAAACCAACGTTGTAACACACACTTTCACAAGTGCTTCATCTCAACAAGAGCAGATCTCAAATGCTGTTTTAATTAATGGCTTGCCTGAACACATGTGCTCTCCTCATTTTAATGGTGATGGAATTCTTGACGTACTATCGGTAGTGGAGGAAAGCGAAAGCAATAGTGATACACCAGATGTTGTTGTAGTCGGTAGTAACAATGTTTTTAATGAATCAAACGTGACAGTTGTGCAGAGTGGAAGCAACGGAGATACCCCAGAAGTTGATGTAGTTGAAACGGCATCTGGCAACAATGTTATGGATCTGTCGAACGTGACTATGGTGGAAATTCAAGGCAACCGTAACGAGCCCGTTGAGACAGTGCAAGTGATTGAGCAACAACAACAACACCAGATTCTCAAGATACACAGATTAAATGTTAAGAAGGACATGATTAACGCATTCAAAGATCCTTCAGTTATGGATTGCGACCTCACATTTGTGTTTATCGACGGCAGAGGGAATGAAGAAAAAGGCTCTGGTGTAGGAGTGGTAAGGGATGCTTTAAGGTTACAGATACAGAACACCTTTGAGTGTTAATTTTGCCTAAAATGTTTTTATCGGTTTTAATGAAAGCATTAGACTAGTTCTACTATCTGACCAAGTTTGAACGAAAAATGTTGAAAACTCGCAGAGTTATTTAATAAAATACATTTCGCTGCAATAAGAAAAACATTGAAAATGTAATATTCAAATTCAATTTTCTCCCGAAAAATTTTACGGTAATTACTGATTTTCAAATGAGTTGTGCTCCTGCGGGTTTCAACCAATTTTTCTCAAATTTTCACAGGTCATAGCTAAATACGTCAGTTTCAAAAACGTGTTCGGCTTTTTTTTAATTTTGGATATTTTAAAAATAAAGAGCAATTCACTCAAACAATTCAGAAATATATTGCAGTCGTCAAAGAAATCGCCATATCAGCGGAATGACGAAATAAACAAAAATTTCCGAACACTTTTTTTTAGAACAACTATTTTACTGTATAAAAATGATATTTTCATAAATATAACTTGAAACCAGCAGGAGCACAACTCAAAAACCTAACGGTACCGCGATTTAAGATTTTCTTGAATAATTCTTACATTATTTCATTGTTTGTTAATTTTACAACTTTACCATATTTTGCATGCACTGGAGAACATTTGGTACAAATTTGATGAAAATCGGACTGATATTGAACGCGCAGTAGCGATTTTCCGCAAAACGCCAAAAAGGGTGTCCTTTAACCTTAAGTCTTTTCTGGAAAGAAGTGTATGATTCACTTCTCATTGGTGAGAATGAACGTGTGCCATTTATAAGGCACGACTATAACAGACTTGATTGGGAAGCCATTGCGAGGGTACTGCTTAAAGGATACCGTATGTGCCAGTACCTACCACTGCTGCTATCCAAGACATTCTTGTCATATGTTCTGTTTGGAGAATCGTCAATCAGTGATCCCAGTATCTTAATCCAGTCATTCATGCAGTATATTTCAGCAGACGAGAGGAGAATAATCGATAAAGGTCTATCTGGAGATTTGGATTTTGAGAATGAAGATGAATTCAAAGAGCTTCTGGACGTGCTGAAGATGTATGACTGCCGATCGCGCGTCACTCAAGAAAATATTAAAAAAGTTATCCAAGAAATAGCGCACAAAAAAATTATCCAAAAGCCGCAGTATGTCACAGATTGTGGAAAGATATTGTCCAAATCCTTGCAGAAACTTTTCCCACTCCAAATTCCCTGACAGATATGTATGAGCGGGTGAAACCATCTGTTAGCAAGATTATAAAATGTATTCAGTCATTTCCACAGTCCGATGCGGAAAGAGAGTGTTTAGGGTTCCTCCGACGATATATCAGGGGATTGGACACTCCTGAAAAGCTAGCAACCTTTGTCCGATTCATCAGTGGTTCTGAACTGATGCTGTTCGAAGGCATTCAAGTGACATTTACTGATTTGTCTGGCCTTGAGAGAAGACCAATTGCACATACATGCAATACATTACTGCAACTCCCAACCACATACCAATCATTCCCCGAGTTGGAGAGGAATTCAATCATATTCTTGCGGCTGATAATTGGGAAATGGATATTATTTGATCGGTATGTTATGTATTAATTATTCTTATTTAAAGTTAACATTCTTGCATGTTGTCGTTTCTTCGTGGCATACTTAGCTCGTATATTGTACGTATATCTTTGTTCACAAGTATGCTATATAAATATGATATTATTTAATCGTTGAGTTATTTACTAGTTACTTACATAGTGTGTAATTAGAACTGGAAAACTACGACATTGATGCATGTACAGCTTTGCATGAAGCCTTTACTATATATGTAATCATATAGGCATAATGTATACATCCATTATTGCATAGTATAAGATGTTCTAAAATCCCTTGGGTTTAGCTACTCGCTGCTAGAAAAATAAGTGCATGTATATAATAACTATGTAGCTAGCTCTGCATGTATAAGGACTTTTAATATATAATTTATTTGCAATTCTTAAATATATCTTCTTTTTTTGTAAACTTCTTCATGCAAAGTATTTGACGTGTGACTCAGGAAAGACAATGGATGGATATGGCTATGCTAATTGTATGATAACATAATTATACAATTTTTGAGTACCAGAAGTACAAGCGCCGTGTTATAGGGTCAATAAGGTTATTAGGATATCAGTAAAAGATATTTGTATAATGAACTGTTAAAGTTTACATATACTTAAATCTGCTAAGTTAAAGTTGATATTTGTGAGATTGTAATAAAAGACAAATTAATAATGTGGTCTGCTGTATTTTTATAACATTTATACGAAATGTGATTGGTTAAACAATTCGTATAGCGAATAAGTCATCACGAATCTATGGGAAAAGTTCCTGTGTTTTGTTGATTATACAACAATGAAACAAAATAAAACTATTCGCAAGTTACGAAAGAACGAGTCGTAAAAACTGATCATTTTTCCTTAATGAAGTCAATCACAAAACACGTTCATATTCAGCTTACGGTGGTACGTACACTGTAAGGCATTCTTAAGCGGGTTTTGCACTTCGCCCGTATCGTATCGTACCGAAACGTACTGGTGAGCATGCGCATATTGAAGAGGTTTATAAATCCACGTACTTCCAGGTGTATTCGCGTATCAAAATAAAAAGTTCGTCGCAAATCAACTTTTTGGCGTACTACGGAAGTACTAACCAATCTAGCCTGCGAACAGGCTCTTTGAATTGAATTAGAGTCTGCCGGTTTAGTCAATAAAAATACGTCTGTGCCCATCACTATTTATAGTGTTGTCAATCAAATGTAAATTACAATGTGACAAATTAATACAGACACGCGAATATATGTAAACAAAACGCATATCTCGATTTAAACGCATGATTGTTTACAACATTAAAAGCATTTGTCTTTTTTCAAACAACCCTGAAATTCCCTGAAGTAGCAATAGTAAGTGAATTCACAAAAACACCGCAACGACTTGAGTTTGAACAGGTACGGCGTACTAGAATGCTCAAGAATGCAAATTATAGTCGCCTTTGTCTCAGAGTAAAGATGCTATTGTTGATATAAGCAGTTGCCGTTGTATTTGCCAAACTCTCTTATACAGCAAACATCGTTTCCGTCTAGAATATTGTTAAGAGCTTTTGACTGCCCATCCTTTACTGTAACTTTAAACAAAGATTTAGTTTTCTATACAACTCGTCGCTATAGAACGATATTTTTTATTTGAATCTTTTGTTGTGTAAATTTAATTACCTTTTATGGCAGTATAATGTCGTTAATTCAATTTCAACCAATGGGAACCCTGCGTCGCTCTAAGCAACGCACAGACGCGTTTTTATTAGCTAGGCCTGCAGGCTCTCTCTCAAATTTCAAAGAGAGTTCAAAGAGAGCCTGTTCGCAGGCTATAACCAATCAACATTCACGAAATTTTGAAATTTAAAAACGTTTTTGATACGTTTTTGATACGCTGAATTTGTTTCCCTAACCGATGAATCACATTGCCAAATTATTTTTTCGGTTTGTGCGAACAAATTGTGGAAAGCCGGTGTTACATTATATACGATCTATATGCGTTTCTATCCCAAAGATTATGACGGACCTCGTTCCCAGGTATTTTCCTCAACGCTCTAACTTAGCTGTAGAAAATAGTTTTTTCCGTACAGGGAAGACCCTGGGAACGAGGTTGGTGTTTTCATTGACAACATATGCACACAGTCATTTCTATTCCCAATAATATGGAGCTCTAATAATATAGAGCTCTGCCTGTGAGTTATTTATTCTAAGTTCCAGATGGCAAGTATGCCAATGCAGTTACCAAATTCTTGCCTTCCGTCCAGACCATCATCAGTCAATGGATGACAATTATCATTCAGGTAGCGAAGAATTTCTTCTGATAGATGAAGGCGTATTGCTGGCACAGAAACCTGGTAATCTTCGGCCTCAAGCGGAAATGGCCCTTCAGGGTCAATGCCATAGTAAGCCATGTCAGCTTCAGCTAAAATACTATCCACCCCGGTGTGGCCACTGTGCATGTTCTGCAAAGTTCCTTGTGCATACATTTGAAGTGGGGATAAATTATTTTCAGTAGAAACAGGATGGTTACTCCACTGTGAAACAAATTCTTTCAATGCTCTGTTTATCCTTGGAATGTACACAAAGTGTAAGGCAAATAGGTGAATGTCATTTAATGGGTCCAGAAGGCCATCTCGTTCCATTCCGTCGAAAATCTCGGCAAAGTGACACAAGACACTAGCATAAACATCTTTATGTGCTCTCTCAACCCTGCAGTTGTGGACAGAGCTACCTGTAATAATGCTTCCCCTATCTAGGCCTCTCGTTTCCAACATGTATCTCGCGACATCAATGTTCTCAAGTCCATGGTCGCTTCTAACTCTTGAAGGTAGACCGTATTCAGCTACGCCCTGAAGGAATAGATCCAATACAGTGTTTGCTCTATTATTATCAGCTATATGTGCATAAACCATAAGCCTAGAGTAACCATCAACACAGCAGTGCTCAACTAATTTGTACTTGATCAGTTTATGGTTACCGTCGATATGCCATAACGAATTAGGAGCTGGAACTGAATACTTTCTACGATAAATTGTCTCATTCCATCGCAGAGCTGTTCCCAGTGGGTCTTCTTCGCGCAAACATTGTCGAACTCTGCTTCGTTGGACTTTAAGTCCTCTAGCCCTGAGTGCCCCCTGTAATCTCCGCTGGCCGATATTCGGAGTTATTTGTCGAATTTGGTTGACTATTTCTTTCAATCTGTCATCTACATTAGGAATTATACTGAGTAATTATATACAGAAAATTCAGAATTTAGTCTTATAGGCGTATAAAATACATGGCCCACCTGAAATAACTATAAATGAAATAAGCCATTCGGGTTATCAGGGGCTTAGGAAGCAAGTTAAAATTGGGGGGAGGAGCATAGGCGTAAACTCGTTTGTTAATGCTGAACAGAGCAGAGCATCCAAGCCGCACAGAGACCAGGCTTTTAGCCAGAAGGGCGTCCAAGCGTCCTGGTAAGCCCCTACAACAAAAAATAGACGCCTTTGGACGCCCAACTTATGGGGAAAAAGGGAAATTATTTTCAATTATTTCATTATTTCCCTAAGTATATTAATATATCCGAAACGAAATAGACATTTTGTTCAATTTGTTGGTGTTGACCCTGGCTAAAAGCCTGCCAGAGACGTATGGGGCTCGCAAGACTAACAAGTAATCCCTAGCAATTTCCATCGTGTAATACTAAGGTACTTCAGGGGAACGATTGGTAATGTTCTACACATACAAGCAGTTAAATTAAATGACTACCTGATAATTCTGAAAAATTTTGACCATCGTCATCATCAGCGCATATCTGTAATTCGTCTCTTCTTCGTCGTAACGTACTTTCACTGACACAGAGGATTCGCGCGATTTTAGCCCAGGAGAAATGTAATTCACGGAGGAACTCTATTTGTTCACGTTGAACAATTAATGCAGGTCGTCCAGGACCTTGCACAGTAGAGGTAGGGCAAGCAAACGATACAGCTCTGCTTTCAGAATTCTGCCGCTCTAAGACGACGATTACTTCTAAAATTATTCGCGATTGTCTCAGAACGGTTTCTAAGACGACTTTAAAATCCTGTAGTATAGGATCTTGAGTTTGCCTAATATTAGTAAGCAATAACTGTAGAGAACCAATAGCGTCCTCTAGGTGAGATCGTGTTGTTTGAAGATACTCGAACTCGATCTCTCGTGAATTTATTTGTTGAATTTGAACAAAAAGCGATCTAAGAGAGTCTATAAAGTTAGTTAGTCCTATTTCGTTGCGTTCCCTAGCTACATGTCTTCGCCGTGCCGACATTTTGAAAATCAAATTTAGTGGAAAATAATAATTTTATATATTGATATATATTGAAAATATAAAGCGCCCTTGCTGAATTTTAATTAGAACGAAAAAAAAACACGTTGAATTTTAATTAGAATGAATATAAAAACTTTTAATTAGAACGAAAAAAAAACACGTTGAATTTTAATTAGAATAAATATAAAAAACTTGCACATGAATTTTAATTAGAATGAAAATAAACACTTAGAACGTAAATAAACATATAGAACATAAAAATAAACTTACAGAACATAAAATTAAAACATAGCATAAATATAAACATGATAGAACGAATATTTGTCTAATCACAATATTGACGTGAACGGCCCGTCATAATTGTCAAAAGCCGTATGAAAAATTATGGGCAAAATTAAATGTTGATTCCCCATGTTAAAAGTCGAATTGCAATATTGATTTTTGGCGGTGATGGAACGCCATAAACGTTTTCCCTCCCGTACGGCTATCATTGAAGAAATGCGCTATGCTTCCACACGATACGGTAATCGGTTTCGGAAATGGAAAACAGCCTTAATTAACTAAGCCTACGTGTCAAATTGTAGTCGATTTGAATCCATAGCCATGAAGATATAATAAACTACAGGGCCGCCGCGATGCTCCGAATATCCGGATCACTGATCAGTTGTCGACACTGAAAACTTGTCTGAATGTTAAAAAATAAGTTGTTTCTTGCATATATTTTGCATATATGTTGCATATATTGGGATAACAAAGGTATTCGACAAGAGTGCATCATCTGTCGTTCGGCAAACAAAGTTTCTATTTTAATAGAAAATTTAATAAACTCCCAGCAGTTGACCTGGGGCTAACACGATCTTTGTCCAATAAGAATTTTGGCGTCACACGGGTTGATTATTTGCAAGGCTTCACAGAGAAATTCGGTGGCCCGTTTTTCTTGTTGTCAGGCTGCGCATTTCTTATTAAAGGCGTGTTGCAGTGACGCAGTCAGAGGGCGGGGGGGGGGGGGTTCCGGGCGATTATGTCATTGTACCACATCATGCGTGAATAGCGTGGGACTCCAAATACATATTCGCATTAGAAAAAAAATTTTTCGATTACTAGAACAGGGTAAACTATTTGCTCCCACCTGGGATTTTTCGGCCCCCTTGACTAGAAATCCTGGCTACGTCAGTAACTGGCGTGTTACTGCTGTAATGTTTCGTAGTCGTGACCGATAGATTAACTTGGTGTAGACGTACAGTATTATAAAAAAATAGGTACGCACTGCGTACATGTTGCATGCCATCTGAAACTTATGATCACAGATATCTTATATCTTATAAGATATCTATGCTTATGATGCGCTATAGCGCTTATAACCTTTGGTACAACTGGCGTGAAAATATCGATTCAATAAATTTAATATCAATATATTTATTGCAAAATAGCTATTATGTCAAAATAAGAAAACTTAAGACTCTCACGCAAATTTGCCTATGGTGTAGACCCCAGCAGAAACACGCGAATATAGACAATGTTTTTTTAAGCGACCGTTAATAGTTAGTTGCAAGCGACGGTAATAATAACATTAAAGGAGTTAAGGGACCCTACAGTCATTTTTTAGTTGAAAAGCCACCTTAATTAAGTAGGGGATTCTACGGAGATTCGTTTGGCTGTATCTTACATGCAGTAACCATGAATATGAGTACTTCCGCACACCGGAAGACGCATGCATGCCGTGATGCGCATGTCAAGTAGCGACAATAACAAAAATGTAAACAATACTTACTTGACTAAAAAATGACTGTAGGGCCCCTTTAACAATGTCAAGGCGGGTCAAGGTTTTATCAAAAGCGATTGACTGTTAGATTTACTTTACAAATTAATAACTAAATAACGTTATTTCTTATAGATATAGCTTTATTGGGTAGAAAAAACGCGTGGAAACGGTGAATTACTACAATAGATTGAAAATGATTATTTATTATTTTGACGTTTGAGTGATTGAAATGAGCTAATTTACACTATATCGAATGTCATGTTGAATCTTATGCGTACTTCACAATGGTTGCTATTTCGTTGTATATTTCAATCTCGATTTCAATTGGAATGGTATTACTATTTATAATTTAAATTGTGTTTGATATTTATATTTCATGTTGTTTACAAAATGTGCTGTAGTTTTGAAGTTTTGCACACAATATAACCAGTACACTGCGAGCACAATGGCTCTGTTTCAGCATGGTTTCAGTTTGAGTATATAAAAATCGAGTATTTTGATAGCGTTCGCGGCTTTGAGGCTTTCAATTGTATTACTATTTATAATTTAAATTGTGTTTGATATATTTTATATTTCATGTTGTTTACAAAATATGCTGTAGTTTTGAAGCTTTGCACACAATATAATCAGTGCGAGCACAATGGCTCCGTTTCAGTTTGAGTATATAAAAATCGAGTATTTTGATAGCGTTCGCGGCTTTCACGATATATATAAAATATAAACGCGTGATAGTTGATAAATAATCAGTGCGACTCCAAAATCACAACAAATAACAAAATATAAGGTAAGTTAAAACAGTAAAGCTTTACCTGCCTCGATTTATTTTTCTAAGGCGCTCGATTATGTAAATTTTCGGCGAATAATCAATATTTATAAACTTTCTTTGCGTTTCCTCGACGAAAACCCGGCATGAAAATGCTCGTCGGAAACTCGGTATTTGTCGTATTTTACGAATCTGCCACGTGACTGGTACGCTCACCGAACACGACACGAAATTTAGACAGCATATATGGCATGCAACAAAAACTAGAGTAAACGTGGAGAAAAATTAGCCCTTCATGCCAGCAACAATGATGTCATAAATTCACTATAATTATCACCATAATGACTGTAGTTATTTCTATACCCGTAGCTCTATTAAACTAAATAATTGATACCTTTATTATAATTATTACATATAGAATTGAAAGAAAAACAGTATCCTTTTACTCTTCAAAAAAGACTTCAATCTCATCAGGGGTAAAACTAGCACTTCCAGCAAGCAACGCTTTCGTCTTTGACTGACCATAACCATAACCAGACGGAGGTCTATATGTATAACCAAGCGAGCTACTCGACCCTATGTTGCTGCCAGCAAAATCACTTATTTTTATATCATTACTGAACTCAGCTCCTTTACTTGCATCGGCACAAATCGCATTAGCATAGTTTTGGAATGGACGGCTTTGAAACGCGGGGAGGTCGTCTTTGTTCTTCAGGGAGAATATAAATGCTTTTGAGCTTCGGTAGCAGTTACGACTGTTCGTTCTGTAGTTGTAACGGTTGTGATACTCGTGTACTGGTACTAATTCTACCGCAGAGATTCCACGAGATACTACGCATGCGCACAGCTGGTCATTCTACTATGCACACCCCGCCATTACATGGCGTGTTTGGTCATACATAAACATAATCCTTAGTCAATGAATGACATCTAGCGAAGACGAACTGTTTTAAATATATAAGTAATAAGGGAAAACATCAATTAATAAACCACCGAGTTTGCGAGGCAAACTCTTTGTTGTGGTTGCAGCTATTCGCTCATAAACATGGCAGCATCGAATGATGTTTTGGACGACATGCTAGCCGAAGCTGCACTTCTTTCAGAGCCAGACCCTGACTCGGCGCAGCCGAGAACATCAGGGGAACTCACAGAAATTGAGCAACCGAGAGCAAAACGGGCCCGTACGTCGGGAAAAACGGGGAAACCTGGCGCTGCCAGTGTAATAAAACCCGTTCACGCCATCAGCAGTGATGTTGTCACCGAGGCTGAAAATGGCGCCAAAGTCACTCTAGAGGAGCTCAGTCATAAAGTTACTCAACTCGCTGAGATAATCAACTCCTTTGCTCCAGTAGTGAAAGAACTCAAAGGTGCTTATGATACTGCGCAACAGCAGGACGGCGCTAGTGTTTCTGAAGGGGAAATCGAGGATGACCTTCTAAATGACGAAGCAACTGACTTGCTCCCTGCCAGCCAAAACGGTGCGCTGGTAGACGACCTTGTCCACGAAGTGACTGAAAGTGAGCCTACAGACCACGCATTACCGGAAAAAATTTCCACCATCCTTAACAATATTTTAGCTTCGGGACTGAACGAGCAGGCATTAGCCAAACGGAAAGAAAGTGTGAAAAGACCAGAAAACTGTAACCTCTTACGTGTTACTAAAGTGAACCCCGAGATTTGGGACATCGCAAGGAAAGCAACGCGTAGCATGGATGCCAGGCTGCAAAAATTGCAAGAGGCCCTAATAAAAGGCCTCATTCCAATATCCCGATTTGCTGGGATAGTTGGTGAATCTTTGGGTAAAGACCCTAAAGTACCTGTGCTACCTCCAGAGGAACTCTGGGAAGGGTTGTCAACCTCTGTCCTCCTTATTGCATCAGCCAATCATGATTTGAACATGTGTCGTAGAGACTTGTTCAAGCAGACCTTGATGAAAATTACAAGGCAATCTGCAGCAGCAAAGAACCTGTTGCAGCCGAGTTGTTCGGTGATGATTTGACTGAACGGCTAAAGACGGTGAAAGAAAGTAAAAAGGCTGCTCAGCAGTTGACAAGCCAGAAGCGGAAACACACATTTGCTCCTCGCCCAGGCACCTCAAATACCTCCAATGCTCATTTTTTATTCCAACGACGGGGCGGCCAGTCTCAGGGCCAACCCCGGGGAATATTTCAGCACCGGAGACGAACAGACACATTCAGGACAGGGGGGAAATCTGTGACACAGAAATAAACCCCACCAATCAAACAGAAATAAACCCCACCAATCAAAGTGTAAGTACTAATTATAGTAAGCAAAATTTGCCCAGTTCTCTACCTCAGACAAAGGGGGGCTGTTCAGTTGCAGGCCGCATACAACATTTCGTAGAGAAATGGAAAGAGCTTACTAGTGATCCTGTAATTCTCTCTGCTGTTACTGGGTATCTAATAGAGTTTATGGTCAACCCGGTACAGCTTGTAATACCTAAACCTATTAAAA